TTCAAACAGAGCAGTGCTTCAATGTCGGCCAGGTGTCTGTGTTGTTCCCATCTGTGTGTGTGAGTGAGTGTCTGTGCGATGCATCTGTGCATCTATGTGGAAAAAAAACCTCCACATGTATCTGCATGCATATCTTGCATATACTAAACTGTGTCAATCTCTTTTCCAGGTGAGTGTGTATTGGTATCTTTTAAGTGTGGATGAGCAGATATGGGTATGTTTTCCCCCCCAGGTGCATGTGTGTGAGCCCTTCATGGTCACTGACTCCATTCACCTAAGCGATCCTTTCACAGTGAAAAGGCAGTTGTCAGTAAAAAGCTCTCTGGACAGCTTCTCTTCATCACCAACCACAGCTGCTGTTGACTCAAGCTCCCAGGAATCTCCTCCATGGGTTCACACCCTTTTAACCAGCCAAGCGCGTACCAGAACCCTCCCAGAGCGAGCAGAAGGTCCTGCAAGGCCACAAGGTCTAAAGGACTAAAGATTTGCTCTGGCACTGGACAAGATTTGTGTCAAAATGCAGCCTATCAAGGAAGAAGGGCTGCAGCACATAAGATAATTGTGATGACTGAAATAGCCAGAAACAAGTTCTGGTAAATGTGTGATCACTGATGTGAGCAGCATGTACCGGTAGTATCATTCAGAGAGTACGGGACATGCACAATGCTAACCACTAAACAAATATTTAAACAAAACCGATGTATGATACTATGGTAATGCTGATTGAGAATATATGTTGAAAAAAACAGATGACCTTCGCCCACAAAGGATTTCTCACACAGCACATCATCAGTGAATTCACACTTTCTGGTGCAAAGAGGCCAGAAAAACTACAAGAGCTGAAAGACTAAAGGGTTTGTTCTCAAAACTGTTTCAGTGGAAGTGTAAAATACTGGCAAAAAAGTTCCATCTCTTTTTCTAAATAAAAATTATTTGCCCGAACCTTTTTAAAGCATGACCATTTGAGGCATCTCTGCAAACAATAGTTTATAGTACATATTTTCTGCCTGAGGGACAATATCCCTGTTGACAGTGGGAGATACAGTACGAGGTAAGGATTGCAGTCGTCACACTGTCAAAGAAATCAGCCATAATTCTGTCATGAACACACAGACATGATGCCCATTGTAGATTCAGTGTTACTTACTTAAACTCTCCCAGGAAGCCATGATCTCAGAAGTCCACTGCAAATACAAGTCCATAAACCCGCCGAGAAATCGTAGAAGAAGACGCTTCTCATAAACCAATGTAGTCACTATAACATTAATGAATTTGGCGTAACTTAATTTTCTGAAATATAGCCTAAACATGTTGCACTGAATTCATGCCGACATACCACCTGTTTCTTGCAAATGTTTATCATCTCATTTAAGTGAAGAATTTTATCATTTAACTCAACATTATCCAAAAGAGTTGCTAACATCAGTGAACGGCGTACCAGACGTAAACAAACTTGACAATAGCGTAACGCATTTGATTGACAGGTGATTGACAAATAATAATTATGTGTCAGAAGAGGGCGGGACATCTGTGTATTTGATTGGATTGCAGTTGGAGCAGGTTTACTGAGTGGTGGATAATATTGTATTTTATTGTATATTCTCTGAGATTTTAGGCGGGGTAGGCCTACTCAGTCAGAATCAGAGCGAGTTACTTGTTGGCGACCCCTCTACCAGAAGAGCCAGTCTTTTTCATGGCTGCCTTGAGAATATTCACGTGGGACTTTTTATAACGAGAGTCTAATGAGCTAAAGTAGCCTAACACATTAAAAGTTAAATACATTCCAAAGGTTTCTAACCATACGTTCACCACAACTACAATAGCTTACCTATGGGCAAAAAGTACCCCCCACCGCACCCCAAATCAACATAGGCTACTTTGTTAAATAACATCGATATTAAAGATAAAAACACAACTCACAATTACACCAGTTTGGATATTTGCACATGTTTATTGTTGTACCACTTTTACTGCATTCTTTGCCTGACCAGTCCTGGAACAGATTTTTATCATAATGAAGCATTTATCTGGTCAAACAAAGGTTGACTTAAAAAAAACTAACAGAACTTAATTTTAACATTTTGAATGTTGTTATTTATATGACAAACCAAAGTAGAATGAAGAGACATCCAGGCTCACTGATGTTTTCCCCTCCTCTCCTGTTTTACATATTTCTTTCCCTTCTTGTTTGACACCTCTATGCTCTTCATCCATCTCCTCTGTTCTCTCATATTGTCTCATCAGTACAGAGCAGCAATGAGCTCAACACATCTGTGAGTGGCTCGGCTCTGTGTCAGCTTCTTCCTCCTCGCTTTTCTTCATCTTTTCCTCCTTTAACTGTCCCCCTCAAGTCAATCAAATTCACAGGAAGGCGGATAAGGATAATCTCTGAGATAAGAGAAGAATGAGAGCCAAATGTCACAGCTGGAAAAAGCCAGCAAAGTCACATACAGTATTTGCTTTGTATAGCATCTTCTGTTGGGCCATTTTTTCCCTCCACTTATCTCACATTTCTTTAAAAAATGCACAGCTGTAAACCTTATACATTACTTGTTTTATTTATTGTCAAGTCTGATCTAATTTAAATGGAATTTGGAGAACAAAGCTTTTGTCTAATATGATAGGACTTTATCAGGTAAAGTCCATAAAACAGTGTATAAACAGTGGAACATTTAGGTGGGCAGCTAGAGCAGCAAAAGATTATTGAGCAAGCCTAACAAGGACAGCTCAGCTCTGTTAACTAGCAAATGGCAGATAGACAATGTTAGCAACTAGCTGGTGAACACAGACGAGCATTCAGCAGCTCCAGAGTCAGATATTTCCCTTAGGGGTTGGTGGACCAAAATAAACAAAACAATATCTTGGATACTGGATTTACAATCAGGTGGCCAGAAGCCCAATCGAAAATCAATACTTCCCTGTGTTGGTTGGATGTGTAAATGAATAACTGTTGTGTGTTAGCTATATCACCTGCATAATGTAAAGCAGCATTTCTGAATGAATACTGCTTGAGTATATCTTGTTGCTAAGTCCAAGAGCTCAGTCCAAAGTAAGGATGTGTTGGATGACGGAGAGAGAGAGATGCTAGGTCTTTACACCCTTCATCTGCATGCAGCACTTGTCCATTTGTCATCTCTCCACACAGACACGCTGACAGATGAAACAGCATCTGTAGCTCTCACAATGCAAGGGCTACAGCTATTTAGAGAAGGACATTCACTTAAATACAGTCCCATAAGTACTGTGGAGTGTTGCATTGGACTGGAATCCCTGTATGTGTCCGTGTGACATAGAGGAGTGAGAAACTGATCTGGGACAAAAAAAAGAAAGAAAAAAAGAATATTTGATAGATGATCAGTAGAGATCAATATCTTGTTCCTACATTCCCAGACCTGCTAAATTGTCACATATTATGTGCACGATGTGTGGATATGACTGAACCTTCAAGAACAAAAGACAATATCACACACATTTTACTTTTTTTAATGGCACCAATAATATGATTACATTAAGAGAAAACACATTTTTTACCTAAATGAGGATATACTGTACAAGATTGTCAATACAAAGGTTATCAATAAAATTTTGTATATTCTGTCAGCATGTATAAATACAGTATCTTACAATGACATAAAAATGGTACTTGCTGTGTAGCTTACTTTATGACTATAACACAAAATCCACTCATGCACTATAATGCCCAATTATATGAAAGAAGCTCAAAAGTAAATAAATTAGAAACAATTTCCTTTTGAATTATGAGACAGTTTAGCATTTACGATGTTTCGCAGGCCAACGCGTTCCTCAAGTCATGATCCAAAGCACTCACTCAATTTTCTAATATTATCTATAATTTCCACACTAATGTCATTCCATGTACATACATGTACTAGTGGTACTGTAAGTGCACACAAACACAGTCTAATGGCAGTACTTTAGCTATGACACATAAAAGTTTAACATGTGAGATGTGTGAAAACTGATATGAGGACAGTTTCACTAAAAAAGAAAAGTGACTGGAGAAAATGTTACTGTTTGACAAATGTTAACCTTTCCTGTTGTTCAGGAGGTGGTTAAAAAAAGAAAACATGGTAAGGACAAGAAAAACATCTCAAAAACAGGGTACAAATGCAATATTCCAAATGCTATATTCATTTCCAGCTGTTGCAAGCAAGGTATATTAGCAGATATGTCATTTTGTTGTATGTTTATTTTTTTCAATTTGTACTTCATAATTTTAATCGCAATTTAATGGTTATACAGAAAAAAGCGAGGAAGCTGCTGGAAAGATGAACAAGCAAATATAATAGAGTTACAAAATGTCTATTGTTCGAGATGTGCGTTTTGTTCAAAATTAGTTTAATATTTATTTATACAGGTGTGGCTCATTATATCTGTAAGGCTGTAACTATAGTAGGCTGAAGTCTAGTAATTCATAGACTGAAATAATACAAAGAATTTCACAGGTTCAGACTAAATCACCAAAAGGGATTTAAAATACACAAAGCAAGAGACTGGAGTCTTAACTAGCAGTTGTTCTAAAGTTCTGGTCTGCAGGTCCACTCATCTTTTATTGACTTAATACAAACACAATCAACTGCACAATAAGCCTACAGCTTCTTTCATCTTTCACATATAAACACTTCTGCATTTTAAAAATAATTTGGATTTTTAAACAGCTCCATGTGCCTTTCAGAGAGAAGGCTGCAGTGGAAAAACTGTTGAAACCTAAATGTTGTTTTGATGAATAATTTTATGTAATCTTTACAGTTATATAGTGGTCAGATTGATGAGCACACACAGGAACAACAGAACGTCTGTTATAACCGACTGCGTACAACATCTACCAGGAACATTAACAGCAATAATGCAGTGGTATGTTGAGAGTAAAAGAGCAGTCTTCAATAAAAAAAAAGACAGAGAGAGACTGAGACAGGCAGGCAGACAGATACAGGGTGGGCCACGGAAAAATAGCCCGCCTCCAATACCGGTGCCACGGGCAATGCGGGTACACGGGCTACTTTTCCGTGGCCCACCCTTTAGACGGATAGACAGAGAACAAACTAAGTAACGAGATCAGGTGGGGATCAGTTTGTCTCTGAACACTTCCAACAAGATAATCCAGCAACATATTGTGAAAAATTAAACCTAACAGTAACTAGCTAACTAGTAGCAGTTTACAGGTGATTTTAATGCTTTAGTAGATGGAGTAGTAATCTTTATATTTGGGATTTTAGTGCTTGTGAAAAAAATACATATGGGTTTGAACCATGTTTCATTATGATCACTGAGCTGGCAGCCCTTTATCTAAGACAACAGATGACTCCATCTATCTTGTAACAAACCATGCATGGAGAACAGAGCAGAGGAAACCACTGTTCACTTATATTCCATACACTCTCATAGTGTGAGGAACTCCAAGAGGAACAGCTGAGGACTTAAAGTCTCATTCTTAAGTTACAGAGTTCAAGATGAAGTCTCACTCTTTTAATCCCTTTAAATCTCATAAGAGAGGAACAAGAATCTTTGAAATATCCAGTGATCCAACAGAAATCCATGAAATCTGGAAACAATTCTTAGAGGGCATCATTTTGCATGCAGGCATTGTTGATAATCCCTTTGTGCTGTTGGCTAAAGACATGAGAACTGCTATCCTTCACCCATCTCTCCTCTAAAGCCAGTATCGAATGTAGACACAAACAGGAAATGCCACCATTCTATAGGAAATAAAAATGCCTTCAATGAGACAGAACCTGTCAGTAAATTCATTAACCAGAGTACGAGCAGATTGATTGCCAGGCAGACAGAAGCAAAAACCAGCAGCCTGATCTTTACTGAAGGTGTGGATACAGCTGTTTGTCTTGACTTGTGGTTCTTGGCTCAGTTGGGCTGATGCCCTGAAATGTTCTCTGAAATTAAGCTATTACATTACACACATGCTATATTGTCCTCTCTAGAATATCCAGGATGAAGTAGCATGCTAAATGCCATATAATCATATTCCACTATATACAAGAGTAGCTATATGAGGAGCCTTCTTATGTAAGTGAGCTGTATTTGTACTGTTACTGAGGAAATTGTGGTTGTGTCCAAAATACTCAAAGAACAGCAGCCAATACACTGTAGGGTAGTTGTAAAGCTACAGTGAAGCTCTGAGTTCACTGTTGTTTCAAATAAATCCTCTGAGCAAAAAAGGAGAGATTTATAGAAGAGGTATTATATAACACACTTTAGTAAAACAAATTTGGGGATTTTTCTCTCATAGATGATTGGCTCCCATGCTCAGTAAAGATCTTTGTCTTCTTCCTTTACATTCTTCATAGTTTGTCTTGAATAAGTCCAATTGCACACAACACGTGACAACAGCAGAATGAGGAAAAGTAGCATGATCCCATCATTCTGCATATGATTCCACATGGCCTCTTGCATGTGGCTGTCATTGTTCTTTGCTCTGTATGTCAGCAGTTACTGTAGACTGTTGTGGCTGAGTCTGCATTCACATGTTCATGTAAGAGTTGAATGTGAAACACCAAAGCTTTCTGCCAGCCTTGCTGCTAACACTGGTAGTGAATGTGCTGGTGCTGGTGCACTTTGCCATCCACGTGTGAGTGCGTGTGTGTGTGAATATCTGTGTAGATCTTTGGATAGACCTTCGGAGCCAACGCAGCACTTCCTTGAGCCAGGAGCAGCTGCTGATGGGCAATGTAGTCCTCATATGAAAGACAATCTTTGTCCCCGTTGGTCAGTTGTGCAGGCAGCGTTGGGCAGGCTCGGTCACGACCGGCCACAGATAGACGTTGAGCAGCGGGAAGAGCAGAGGAGGATGACGAGGAAGAAGAGGAGCAGGTGCGTTTTGATTGGCAGAACCAGAGGAGGGCGGTGCCTAAGATGAAGGCGACACCTGCAGGTATTCCAATAATGACAGGCCAGGGGAGGCTTGGAGATGCTGCTGTGGGGACAGAGTTGGTTTGAGGCTTCAGATCTGTGAAAGGAGGAGAGACAAGAAAACAAATGAAAGGAAAAACCTTCCTGGAGAATAACAACCTTAGTTATACACAGCTGAAACCCAAGACATATACAAGGCCCTCTCAAACAAAGCACATGGCGCCACTTTCCTATGTAACTATTTCTGTGGGCAATGGGACAAATTTGACCCCATAGGACATTAATTTCCACCTGTTCCAGAGAAAACAAACCTGTGCCTGCTGGGTGCTATGGGACTATCATGTTTTCTTGTTTGTTAAGGTTAGGTCTCTGGTTTGTTTGGTAGCTCTGGCAACGTGCTAGCTAATTCCTAACATGTTAACATGTGGCGGTTTTATAGACTGGGGCTGCAACTAGCAATTATTTTAATTACTGAGTCATCTGGCAGTTATTTTCTTAATTATTTGAACCATTCTTCTGACTACAAAAGGTTACACAATTGTGAAACATTTTTTAAATTTCATCTGCCCGATGAAAGGTCTTTAAATGTCTTCTTTTGTCCAAACAGTCTGAAAGCAAATATTTAGTTTATTATCATTCATGACAAAGAATCAAACCTGCACATCTGAGAAGCAGCAAATATTTGACATTTTTGCTTTAAAAAATTACAAATAATTATTCAAGTTTCAATATAGATTTCTATTCATTTTCTATCAGTAAACTAATTCATTACTCAACTAATCACTGCAGCTCAGTTACAGACAGAGGCATGTGCTTTGTGAAACCAATGGGACGAGAATCTCTAGTATATTAGACCAGAAAGAGAAAAATCAACTTGATTTTGTACAGTTCTCTTTCAATGTGATTAATGTGAGTTTCTGTCTCTTCATCCTCTGACCTGGCAGCACGGTCAGGTAGGCGCTCCTGAAGCTGTAGCCCATAGTGTTGGCTCCCAGGCAGATGTACATGCCGGCATCTTCCTCCTTGGCTCTGGTTATCAGCAGCTTATTGAGGTAAGACCCATCAGGACGGGACCAAACTTCTCCAGTAGGCAGGACCACAAAGCGGTGGTCTCCAACCTGCATGTGATCAAATATAGAAAACCTTTATCACTTTGACCTCGAGCAGACTGTGAATTTGTGTTGGCAAAATCAACCTTACAAGATAGTGCCAATTTGTGTTTTACAGGTAAACGACTGAAGCACTGCATGCGTACCTCAATGGTGGAGTTGAATTTGTTTTCATCACCAGGTTCAACTCTTTTAAGCCACTGAATAACCGGCTTGACGTCACTGTGGACTTTACACTGGAAAGATGTGGTTCCTCCATAGTCCACTGTAGTGTTGACTGGGTGGGTACCAGTTAGAATGGGTTTAGAGTTGGTACGCTCTGCAGAAACACAGACAAAAGACACAAGCCCAAGTACAGAAAGAGAAACTATATTCAATATTAAATTATAGGACTGGTAGGACTGGATAAGTCTGACTTCTTCCTACTCCATTCAAGCATGTACTAGGTATAAACAAATTTATTTTGGATTAGCATTTGTTGGATATGTGTAAAATTATGTGTGTTGACATGTCAACTGTCTTTACATGCTTGAAAGAAAAAAAATATTTCAGTCAACACAGTGTAAATGTGTCAAATTCAGCTGTAATCACAATTTAAACTGGGGAAAACACAGTGAGGAGTTGGTATGTGCTTTGAACTGAAAGAACACAGAGAGAATATAATATGGTTTGAAAGTACTATTTGCGCAGTATCTGATGTATTCAGCACCACATCCTCCCTCTCTGTTGAAGACACAAACACACCCCTTATCTTCAGCTCCTGCCTTTTGTTCCTTAGTTTATACAGCAGAATAAACACACCTGACAGGACAGCATTTGTTTTTTAGTCTCACAGGAACACAACCCGCGAAAATTAGTTTGATTTCATTTCTTTTCCCTTTTTGAATTAATTCCTCTGTGTGCGTGCGTGTGTGTGTGTGTGTGTGTGCATTAGTAGTCTTTCAGGAGAAACTACAACTGTACTTTAATGTATAACAGATGTGGTGAGAAAAGAGTCCGAGCTAGTCTGAGCCACTCACCAGAACTATCACACTCAGCAGCATACAGTTCTGTGCACACATGCAAAATTCAGCACCAACTCTCCACCAAACAGTTAAATAATCCAGTGTCAAAACAGCTACTGGAGCTTTCCAACATGGCCTAATGCATCAAAAACACTCCCAACCCACCGTAACATGCGTTCTGCCTGTAACAGCAAAACTCGACCTTTTTTTAAGCCAAAACTGCAGCTGGCTCCTCTTTCAACCTGAAAAACCAGTTGACCATTCCTCGCTGATGTTTAGTACAGACCAGACTGGCAGTGATCAGTAAGTGCCACTGAAGTGAAAGGAGGCTTTTATAACCTATTTTAAACTTCTATTCTTGGTGCGACTCAGTTGCCAGCACAGTGGTGAATGTTTGCCCTCTAGTTTTACTCTGCAAGTTACAACCAACCACAATGCCTAAAAGACTCACATGAAATGAATTAACACAAGCAGCGTTCATGATCGCAGTTGGACCTACATGTGCGTCGGTTTCTTATGAAAGCAAAGACAGATGACATTGCCAACAAATCATTTAAATGGTTGATAACTTAATTATTGTGTTTTAGATTATACAATCTTAAATTCACTGTACTATGAGTCAGGATGGAAGCAAAACTTAACTCAAACCCTGCTATTTAGCCAGACAGGCCTGTTAGTCAAACAGTAATACACCTATTATGTACTGCATAATGTTGTGTAAGAGGAAATGCTCAACAATGCACACACCACAATTCCAAAATCGATATATCACAGCATGAAATGACCACAGGCTGCCACACTTTTACATACTCAAAAGTAGTGCTGACATGATTAGTCGATTCATTGAGTGATATTAATAGTACATTTATCAACTGATTTCTAAAAAGGCAAAGAGTAAAGCTGCTTACGTTAAATGTGTGTGAGTTTTTGTTAGACTTAACCTAATATTGTAGGCAGCGACATTTAAATGTATTCAGGAATCAACAGACGATCCTTTACAAATAAGCATTTCATCAATACTTATTATCAAAAATTCACATTTTCTTCATTTGTACATGAAGAGTTATATAATTAAATTCTAAATGCAATGACTGTCTGCTGCTGAAGACTGTATGATGGAGTTTGGTTGAAACCAGGTTTTCTTGTAAAAACGTGGCATCGCTCTTTTCTGCTTTGATAACCAATGTATATTTTTGAGAATCCCTTGTTTCTCTTTCTGGAACATAGAGTATACTTGTGTTTTTAAGAAACGAACCTGTGTTTATCTGAAGTAACACTTTGCATAGAACTCATTAAGACTCACGTATGACTTCCACTTTGTAGTTGGCAGTGATCTCTCCTGCTCTGTTGGAGACGTGGCAGGTGTACTTCCCGCTGTGCTCCGGCGTCAGGTTCTTCAGATTTAGAGTCCACTTCTTTTTCTTCCCTTCTCCTCTTCCACCGTCCTCATCCACCAGCGGTCGACCATCTTTCAACCAGACGATATCGGGGCGAGGGTTACCGCTTGCCGGGCACTTGAGGCGTACGGAGCTGCCCACTGGGCGAGCGATGACACGCTTCCTCATCTTTGCAGGCTGGGTGAAACGTGGACCGACTGCAAGTGCAAGGACAGATAAAAGGGAGAACTGACGCTGTAATTTATGAAAGATCTAGCATTGTAAAATAAGTTGTGTAGCTTTTGACTGTTTGCACAATATGGGAGTTTGAGCTAAGTGTAGTCTGGATAAAACTCTATAACAAATTTAAAATTTGAGAGATAAACACAAAAAAGAACAAAACACACACAGCTCTCAGTCAGTATAGCAGGTAGCGTCAAAAGAAAAGAAGAGACCAGAAGATGTTATTACTACAGATAAATGGTTTAAAGAGCAGCTTTATTTACAAGCAGTGTTCTGTCCTTCAGACCACTGGAGGGAGAGCGGATTGGGAGAGACTGTGAAATTCATCAGATTCTTATGTGGCACTTTTATTAGACGTAGTGAGCGATCAAAGCCCCGTTATCTCAGGAGGCTGGGACACAGAAATGTTTGAAGCCTCCTGTGTTTCAGGTTATATTGGTTTGTTCTATAACTATTTTTGTTAATGATATAAATAAATGTCTCTGTCTCAGAAAATTCAAAATGTCAGGAAGGTGAACTGTGCATTCACCGAAGGGATCTCTGGAGCAGCTGGAGATGTATAATAGCCATGATATTACAGGCACGTTTTCTCGGCTTTATGAACTGTGTGTTGCTGCTTTTATTCACTGAACCACTGAAATCTTTAAAGTGTGTTTTCACAAAGGTTTGTTATCAAGAAAAATGTTATTACGAACAAACTGAAGAGCCTCAGTTTACAGAGAATATATTTTAGGCCTGAATGTGAAATATGGTAACTTGTTAAGCAGGACATTTTTTTCAGTGTAAGGAGCATTAGACAGGCTTAGGTCATTGCTGCAGGCAGTGCCAGGAACATCATGTTGTGCTGTAACGACATACAGCAGTATGGCTCTTGGTATATACAACCTCATTTGATGTAATAAACCCTAATTGTTTTGTTTGGGAAAAGATTTTGAAACATGTCCTCATCGCTCTAACACAAAAACGTACTCACATGGCTGAAAACCCACACGTACAAACTACAATATACATATTCACAGACAGAAACACTAGATTCCTTGTTTTCCACTGATAAAGCACCTCTGACCCTCCCTGGCCTGTGCATCAATGAGATTCGCCTGTAAAACCCAGAAACTCACTAATCAGCGCTGTAACATTAATGTAAAAGTCTGGTCATGACTGCAAATCTGTGTGCAAGTCATTAAATACTAGACAGTGACTTAGCATCACACCAAACATCCTTTTACCCAGGCACATGCCTTCTTACCAAACATAAAATGACTAGTTCACCCTATACATCAATTCAAACATTCACATCGCTCCACACAGTTGCACAGCTGAACCACATCTAGCCTCTTTACAAATAAGTAAAATGGCCAAACACTAGCCCCACACATCTATTCATACACACATATCCCTTCAAAAAAATATACAACAACAAAAAAATATACAACAATCAGTTAGCAGTAAAAACAGATCAAAGCGCGGGAAAAACAACCCAGTGAGGAAGGAGGAGAGGAAATCATTCACAGGAGTGCTTGATTTTACAGCCCTCATGTTCAAGCCACAGCAGATAGCCATCAACAGGCCGATAAATCAGCCTGCAGTTGCAACTCTTTCGCTGGACTCCGTTATTATTCTAGCTCTGGGTAAACAAACAGGAGGAAAAGTTATGTGACAGGTTTGTGCGTTCAAATCCGGAGATTTCACTACGGCTGCATTATTCAGCAGAATATAGCTCTCTGCTGGCCGACCCGAAGCTGGGCAGGATGACAAAACAAACATACCCGAAAGGCTTTTAAGTCTCGCCTTTGTCCCCCCGAGTCTGAGAAAAGCTACTGGACTACAGCTGAACTGTGACCAGAGTCAATAGATCTAACAGAGAGTGAGGACAGCAGAGCGGAGAAGCAGAAGATAATAATTAATAGTTTAATAGCAGCCAGTGTTTTTGGCAATGTCAGATGGACAGTTACATAAGATGCACTTGCTTCACATAAATTAATTGAAACTATCAGGAAAGAGCCAAAGCAAAGTGCAGCTGAACTGGATAAAAATGTGACTAGATGGTCTTATACTTGTATAGCACCTTTCTATGTTTTTACAGCACACTCAAAGCACTTTCACACATTATTCACCCAGTTGCACTCCCAAGCACTCACACACCGGTGACATCACCGGGAGCAACTGGGGGTTCAGGGTCTTGCTCAAGGACACCTCGACATGTTGACTGGACAAGCCGGGAATCGAACTGCTAATCCTCCGGTTAGGAAACGACCCACTCTACCTCCTGAGCCACAGCCACCCCCATAATGAACAAAAGAATGAACAAAATACAGCAAAGTGCAATTAAACCGAACTGATTGGTAATGTCCAAGCTGAAGCAAATCAAACAAGGTAAGGGCAACAAAGCAAAGTTCCTATTAGGATTAAAACATACTGAAGCGTAACAGTTTGCTAAAAACAGAAAAATAAATCTGGAGTGATGGCAACAACAACAACAAAAATGTGAGAATAAAGACAAAGAAGTGAAGATCAACCCATAAAAAAGCAGAAGGTAAATGAAGGGGCACATGAAGGAGACATGAGGGTGAAAAGAAACTGACAAAAGTGGAGAAGATGGGAGGGTGGGGGGGCTTGTTCTGGGTCTCATGGGCCACGTCAACACCACAGTGTAAAAATACTACTGACCTGCTTTGATCAGAGTAACATAAAACGTCTGTGTAAGAGAGGGACTAGTCATGTCCAATGGGACTTAAGACTGTTTGAGACTATGGAGATTTTTGTTCACTGAGGTTTTTTTTGACTGCTCTTGACTTAGGTAGTTTAGGGTAGGACTTGTGTAAAGTTAACATTAGAAGGCTGGCATTAAAAGTGGGATTCAATGTGTAAAACCTTGGACTTTGGTTAGGATTAATTAGTTTGAATTGTTGATGATACCACCCTTGTCTGTGTGTGAAGTATAGGAAAGGAGGCAGTTTGCCAGCTAACCTGGCTCTGTCCAAAATTCAGAATTATACTAACATCACCTCTAAAACTTAATCATTTCTACATATCGTGTTTATTTATCTGCACAAAACGAGAAATGTGAAAACAACAGCTCTACATGGGAATTATGTGCTGTAACTATTTCTTGGCAAACTACAGATGGAGGAAGTAACATAGAGGCAACCAGCTGAGATGCTGCACAGAAGTACTAGGGGTCATATGAACATTCTGGATCAGCAGATTCAGAATATTACTTGGATGCCGGTCTCAGTTTGGTGTGTGGTAGATCTTATGTGGTTATTATCATGCAGTTCTTGTCCACATTGTCCATTGTAGGAATTCTGTATGGAGTTAGAAGCAAAATTGAAACCGGTCCTATCTCACAATGGTGAAGAATCCTTTAATAAAAATTTCTGGATCCAGATCAGCACCAAAATCTAATGGCTTATTCCATGGGCCATACCCTACCTAACCAAAAAAAAAACTCAAATCCATTAATTACTTGAGTTATGCTATGAACAACCCAGTAAACAAACAAACGGCCGTTAAAATATTCATGGTTGTGTACGAATTAAAGAAGTGATCTACAAGTAATCCACCTTAAATGATACTGTCCATTAGATATATAGAGTCTAAGGATATATCAGCTGTGCGTGGTACGTAATGTACTGTAGATAAGATTTTATTCATCCAGGTGTTCCAGAAGCTTTATATACTGTATGATGTGAGCTGAAGAAGGCATGCTTGTGCCAAAATAATGGAATAACGTCTGCACTGCATAACTTTCACATCTGGATCTGCCTCTTTGCGTGCTGTTGTGCTTGTTCGCTGCTACCATCATGCCTTGCTGGATGTCACTGCATCGCAGCAAACGTTAATCTGGGGTAAAGTTAAGCAGTGAGTGCGTACGTCTGGTTGCTTCTGAGCCCAGAGAGACAAATCGATAATGAGAAACAATGAGTGCAAGAAAACAATGAAAGAGTGCAGCAAAAAAAAAGCAAACTTTTGTTGATGTTAAATTATGTGTGCACAGATATTTAACCCAGAGAAAGAGAGGTGGCGAAGGAAAGTAGTTAGAAAAAAAGGATAACAGCAAAGAAAGAAAGAAGGGTTAAGTTACACGACCAGAGATCCAGGGGGGACTAGAGGGGCTTGGAGGAGGAAGGAATGTGCCCCACCAAATCACACCTCACACAAATAGACTGTTCTCCACTCTGTCAGAGCCAATTATTTATGCAAGCACCCTGATGTGTGTCTGTGACCGTGTGTGGGCAAACAGTACACCCTCACCTTCTCCTCTCTGACAGTTTGCAAGGTGTTTATTGTACAGTATGCTACTGTATTTTTAAAACATTACACAATCTCAGCTATCTAAAGCGTTACTTCTAGGCTTCCTTTTCATTTCCAAAGATTTATAGATCTACATGTGGTTACCTAGTTTGCCAGCCAGCTCCGGGGCATGTTCAGAATCGCCATTGGCTGTCCTTGCTCCACCTCTTGAACTGGAGTCATCTGAGGAAGGAGAGAGAAATACAAGAAGTGTCTTTAGTTAACTGACCACATTTGACTAATTGAATGAGTGAAACTATACAAACTCAAAAATGCATATTCACTTGCATTAGATTGCAATAAGCATTCACTACATGCACAAGCTCCTTGAGTCTTCAGGCATGTTTGTGAGTGAGGAAGAATTTGTCTGTTTTCTGTCAGCATCAGACAGTTTTATATGATGCATAGGGTCATGAGGTATCATTGTTCAACATAAATCCAAGGAATTTTTAATTGGAGACAGACTGATACAAGTTAGGGAGTCAGTGGGTTTTAGCATCTGAAAATATTTAGACCTGAGGTGCAGCTTTTTTTCTGTCATACCAATAAGACAGAACAATTACTGCACCATACAATGTAATGTCTGGCTTTTAAAAACCTATTTTCCATCCAGTAGTCTTACCTCACCACTACACCATGCATTTCACACTTCTCAGCAATGGACTAGCATCACATTTCCTGATAATAAAAAAGAAATGTCTATTCGGCACTTCAGATGGAACTGGTGTATCCAAGTGGACCTTTACCAGGAGGGTGAGGAGGGCTAATACAGCACAGCATCAGTTCTGTCAAAGGTGAAATGTTAGCTACAACTTGAAGGTGGTTATAGAAAGAAAGAAAGAAAAAGGACTAAACGGCCTCGGACCACATTAAAAAGGTATGTGAGAGTGTGCGTTTAATTGTAAATGGATAGGTTTATTGTGCACATGGGTATTAAAAGACTACCTGAAAGCTCAGAGCTATAAATGTCACTATTTGGATGATGGAACAAAAGTGGTATTTTAAATGTAAATATGAGGCATGACCTGCATCCTCAGGGTTGGTATTAATAGCATACTGGCAGGCTGTGTGATATGAATTCCTGCATGGGTGTGTCAGTACTTGTGTGGGTGCATTTGCGTGATGTGACTAAGTGGTAATTTGAGGTGCCAGTATTCCTGTTAAACCTCACTCCTCCTTCCCCCCCTCTGACTCCCGCTTCATCCCTCCCTCTTGCCACATGCACAGCGTGTTCTGAGAAAGGGTAGCGCGTTTGAAGCCGAGCGGCATGGGGGTCTGATCTGAAGGGGGAACATGGTTTAGCACTCTTAACAGCAAGCAAACCCTCCCCCAGGCCTGGTGTGAGGCTGTAAACCTTACTTGGCAGACCTCCTACACACCCTCTCACAGAGGGGGGTTGGCCCGCTTCCACTGTGCATGCAGACGTGCATCCAGAGTATCAACGCATTTCCCAGATTCAAAACCTTTTTAATGCATGTATCGCAGCTGTATATTCTGATACTGAGGCAGGGGAAAAACTAGATTCCTCTATTATTACTTGACCATGGCTTGAAGAGAAAGCCTTTATCCAAAGATGTTCAGAGGTTCACAGAGCAGAGATCGAGCAGGCTGAATGTGCCTGGTGGGACTCGTTGCATGGGATGTGACATTTTTAGTTCTTTGGTGAATACAACTGTAACACAGCTCAGGTCTTTCAGTGTGAAACCAGGAAATCATGCTTCTGTCAACACGTTTGACATCCAGGCTTCAGAACAGATTTCTGCCAGGAGAGTCACTTTTCGACCCTTCTTTAGCTCCAAGAGTAGAACACATACTCCCTCTCTGCTTCAGCTGTTTTCAATAAACAAAATGTTTTCTTCTGATCCTGGTCCGCCTTTTAATGTTCAGCCAGACACTTTGGCTGGTGTCTGTAACAACCAGTACACACATACATGCACATATACCCAGCGAACAGATGCATACATGAAGGCAGGTTTTACAAACAATAAGACACTGTAATGTGAAATATCTGTTTGCCCACCTAAGCTCCAGATCAGAAGCCAGAGTACGTTTGTACAGAACTTTCACACAGAAGTATTTACCCAGGTACATGTTTGACTATATGAGCACTCGGCAGTTTTCATTTCAAATCTGGGGACACGTCTACTGGGAACTCCCCAGTCTAACAGAGAACCAGAGCAGTTTGTCGTTAGTAACTGGGATGCTGAGTGAAGAAGATACCATGTGTAAGCTTGGATAACCTGACCTGAACAGTGCTTAAATAAATAAATAAATAGGTTATAATTCTGGTTTAGACACTAATGGCAATCCTTCACTTGAGGGCCACATGGTTGTAATCTTCAATCACTACGTAAAATGATATAGTACATTTAATCAAGAATCTGCTCATGGCAAACATAACCAGCGTGCGATTGCCAAACCCTGTGTCAGTTGCTGAAGACAGACTAGCAGTGCCAAGGAACAACAAGAAAGAGGGGATACAAAGTGATATATGACCAAAAGTGCAGTTTCATACAAACTGAACACAAAAAAAATGATAAACTCATAAAAACCCCATAAAACCTTAAAGAGCACAGATACTACAACATTAAAACAATGTGCCATTGGCCCATGGGCCCATTGTTTCTGATTAATGCCCTTTTTAAAATCATATTCTTCTTGTCTTCGCTCTTGTCCACACACATCATTTAAAACTTTTACAGTACTTACAGAAGATGTGGGAAAAAATGATCACCATCCAATTATTTGCTTGCATCAAACGCCACCCAAAGCTCCACAGCCAGTGTAGTATACAAACATTTACAAGCAGTTTTTTTCCATTTTGAACAACCTTTTTCTTTGTAACAAGAGTATAAAACATATCAGTGATCATCCTTTTATTGTGTTGTACTCCTTTTTAAATCTTTTCTGTTTCTTTTGCTCTCTCACCTCACGAGTTTGCTTTCAATCTCTCTTCTTCATTTACGGCTTCATTTCTTTTCTTTTCATTACTCTCTCTTTTCAGGGGGGCAATGGTTCAATAGTGTGCTACATTTCACATATTCACTGACTGGGTACCCCTGTGTGAATGAGCGTGTGTGTGTATTTTTATAGCCCCTTCTTGTATTTACTTTTAGGTATGTTGAAAAACGGCAGTAGTTGGACACAAACACACTCAGAATTGAGCATGAACAGTCCAGTGTGTGTTTGTATGTGTGCGGGTGTCCAGGGGACCAGTGTTTTCCTAAAGGGTCATGTCCTTCCAGGTTTTAATATAGAGACACTGGATATGTGGACAAAACCTCAGTGTATGCTGATGTATGAGGGAGAGAGAGATACTGTATGTCTGTGCCAACTCCTACTGGCTGCTGCTTGTTGCAGCAAAAGGGCCAAAACCAGCAGCTCTGATGAGAGTTTGTATACCTGACAAACCCAGTAAATCACTGATAGTGATCTAAAAATGATAGTAGAGTTTCAGGCTTTACAGAGGCACAGCTTGCCTCACACTTCACTTGATGTGTCACTTTATAATTCAGACAGGAAGTTTTACGTAACGCTGGAAGAAGAGGTACTGTTCAGTTAAACCCAGATTCAGCTTGGTTTAAGTGTTGCAGGCAAATTACTTTTTCTTTTTAACCAAAATTGAGGTTTAATCCAACTACACACTGTGTAAATTATCAGAAATGCCCTCAAATAATCTCCAAAGTCTGAATGGAGGCTATTTGGCTCTAATTTTAACTTCATACAATAAGCTTTATTCTTTCCCTGAGACTCCAAGTTCATTCTTGACCTAAAGAGAAAACAGCCTCACTGCACAGTCCATTTAGTAGCTGTAGTTCAATGATTTCTTCAGCAGATGTACTCTGCTCAGTTGAGATAAAATTGCTAATGTTGCTCTATGTTGACTTAAAAGCTAGGGTTTAATTCTGCCACTTGTCAAATACATGTTTATATTGTTTAACTTTGTCACCAACCTAGACCACTATACAGTATGGCTTCTCATCATATTACGTGTGCATTAAAGCTTTTACAAAATACCATCTGCTGATCTTTCCTGAGGAAGACTGTTAAGCTTTAGCAGAAAGTAATGCACTTTCTATTTTCAGCTTGTTTAGCAAAGTGATAGCCACTATTACTGTTAGGACAAAAAAGAGCAACTCACAACAGCTTAAAAAACGGAACTTTTGTGAGAAGAAAGATATCAGAGGACCTCTGAATCTGTCTGAAAGTGACCTTTAGGACCACAGAGATTAGTGTAGGGGAGACGGGAGAGTGTAACACCAGGTCAGTTGTAAAAGCTGCACAGTTGTTATCACTATCATAAACTCCCTTTTTTTCTTTTTGAGCTGACAGGACAAGTGGCACGTCTCTGTGAACAACACTATGGATTTTATGAACAATAACTGATTTTCAGGTACAAATTAAATGCCTAGTTTTCATTGTATTGTAGACATAAAGGTTTGACTTCTATAACCTAAAGCAGCCGTTTCTATAGCTTAATTTGATGCTTTACATTCATGCTAACTTCCAACCCACATGCAAAAACTGTTAGCTACAGTATGTAATGGCTGCTTGGGGTGGGGATGGTTGTAACTGTGCACCTCCATATGACAACCCCCTTATCCCAGAAGCCCAATGACCAAGAGATTCTGACACCTCTGACAATGAGAATCTCTGCACTGTGTGCATGAACACTTTGCAAAGTCAAGGCCAAAAGAAGTGTGGGTCAAGGAAGTAGTTTATTAGTTCGGGGACCCCGGCCCTGCACCCCAGAGGCACCGTCTACCTTTGCCACAACTGTGACAGTGATTAACCCTTTTCATTACACATCCACATTCTGAAATACAACCCCCCACCCGTATATTTGTCAGTCTGCAGGTCTTTACATTGACCCACATTAATTTCCTCGAGACTTACTCGAACCTTACCCCAGCCAGTATGTGCCTAACACTAACCTAACCTAACCTAACCTAACCTTTTGTCCCTTTAAATTGTTCACTATAGTCAATAAAATTCTTGTATAAGTTTGATGATGTGGCCACATCCATCCCAGCTAGTGTTACAACTCACCCCAGTAGTTGGGGGCAGGCTGTAACAACAGAACCCTTTGTATTTCACATTAACTTACATAATCTGTGGTTGTGTACTCGTCATCCGAACAAGTTTTATTTGTAGATAAATACGGGTACCATGTATCCAGGTTT